TATATATAAATAATGTATTTAAATTTTCTGTGACATTGTAAACGTAATTTAATTTAATGTATGTTAAAAACATCATAATCAAAAAATTTTCCTTAACAATTAAATTAATTTTATCAACAAAAAATATATATTACAATTTATGTTTGTTTGTAAATATAAAATAAATATTTTTATTCTTTTTTAATGCTACAAGTATGCTTGTGTTAACTATTTCTTTTATTAATTTGTAAGAATGAAAGAAAAAAAAACAACAATAGTTGTGTAATTACAAGAGAAGCATTTGAAGAAGTTGACACCTGTTCTAGCATTATGGAGCTACAAGAAAATGATCAAAGCGAAGATACAGCTGCCATGGGGCATATACAATTTGATTTAGAGATGGATTCTATTACTGAAACAGCTGTTTATTATTCTACTACTCCAAGAAAATCCCTTCGGGGTAAACGTAAAAAAACGATGGACGGGAGACCGCAATCACAAACTTCTTTGTTAAAATCTAATTACAATGTTAATGGCGAACAAAAAATAGGTCCAAAATATCGACCTATATGGCCAAAGCCTTATCAACCAAATTATTTAAATAAGCCTAAAATCTTTGGTCTATCATCCACGATGAATGAATTTTCTACATTAAATCCTGCGAGTCGAATTATTGTTACTACTACAACGAGTGCTTTACCAGCAAAAGAAAAAATTCAGGATAGTATGATGTCGGAGAAGCCTAGTAAGAGGACACATAATTATTCTAAATCTACTACGGCAAATTCCAACAGCTTGAAATTATTAACTAAAGAAAATGTTAATAACAAGAATTATGGTAAAAATTGCAGTACTTCGAGAAAAGATTTTAGGTTCATTCAGATACAAGACAAAGATAATAAAGGTAGCATTGAGTTATTTTTCGAAAGTATGGCACAGACCGTTTTAAGTTTACCTATGCATGTACAAGCTCAAATTAAAATGGAAATTTGTAAGCTTGTTACTATGGCAGAAATCAAATATTCTTCAATGCAATCAAAACACGGCTATAAAATTGATTGACCCAAGCAACTGTAAAAAAAGATTTTTTTTACCTTCGATAACGATTTAGGTATTACTTTTTCTTTTTTTTTAAATAGCCTAAACGTTATTCGAAATGTTAAGTTAATATAAATAATATACATAAATATATAAATAATGTTTAGAACAAACTGTAAATGTACAGAAAAAAATATAATAAGAAATATTATTCTAAATCGTGATGCTTTATTTTAAAGAAGGAAGTTTTAAAAAAGAATGCTTGTGATACAAGTTCCCAAGATATAATACGTTGTTGTATATACAATGGGTAATTTGTTAATGAACAGTTTAAACTACGAACAAATAAGACAATGAATGCTTTTGTGAAATATTTTTTATGTTTTGACACACAACAAACACCTCATAGAACAAACAGAAGAAGAAACCACGCTATGTGTAAGATTTATAAAACTGTACAGTAAGTGATCGTGTAACAAATATCTTTGAATGAATTATTTTCGTTACTGATCACCTACTGTAGTGCAAAACTAATGAGAGATATAGAGAGAAAGAGAAAGAGAGAGAAAAAGTTGGATAAGTTTTGCATTTAATA